GGAGCTCATCGAATCTGGGTATCCCACCGACCCAAGTCAGCCATCTGGCAATCAATCCCAGTCGAGCGCACGCGCTTCCTATCGTCGTCAGACTTCTCGATGTCTGTCGGCCCCTTTCCTCGCGCGTATGACTACTTCGGTGACGGCAGCCCCTATCTCGTGGAGGCGCCGGGTCATGTCGACGGGCACATCAACGTCCTGGCGCGCACGTCGCGCGACGGCTCGTGGATCTTCCTCGGCGGCGACTCTGCGCACGACACGCGTCTGCTCACTGGCGAGAAAGAGGTTGCGTTTAAGATAGACGCAAGCGGACAATCACTTTGCGCGCATGAGCACAAGGACATCGCCATCGAGCACATCCGCAGGGTGGGCTCGTTGCTCAAGGTCCCAAAGGTCCATGTTCTGCTCGCTCATGATTGGGAGTGGTATGAGAACAAAGGCGGTGGCGCGTTTCTGCCTGGAGTTATTCCTCCCGCGTAGCGTACGGTGAGCGGCCTGTCATTGTTTTGATCGGACGGCCCCGGGGGGAAAGGTGAAGAGGGTTCTGCAGTAGCTCGGTACATAAACGGTCTGCTCTTTCCAGTAATTTTACACAGCTCGGGCGGATGTATGAGCGAAACTGAGGTAGTCGTCGAAGTCGTCGAAGGGTGGCACAACCGACGCACCGCGGTCGCCCGAAGCACTGCAGGCTGGAAATAAGGTATTTTTGCGACACTCAATACATCTATCCCGTTTTGTTTCATATTCCGCTACTTCTGAGTTCGCGTTTCTTCAATTATCTTCTCAGGCTCCTCTTTTTCGCTTGTTTATAAAGGCCCTACTTTCTCAGGCTCTTGACCTGAAGTGTACCTGGGAACTTCGCCGAGTGCTCAGCGCTCAGCGCTCATCGTTTGATGCGCCGCGGGGGAGTCCTGAAAGTCTTACAGCCGTACCTAGAATGATAGAGAACACGGAGTTCGAAAACTCCGCGGACGCTAGTGCGAACGAAGTGAGGCGCGTCCGCCGTCACCTGAGGCATTTGACCCGTCCGACAGCCCCACATCCCACGGTCAATAACTGCACGGGCACACCGCATTCTTCCCACTCTGTATTCATCGCTACACTCACTATGACAACATGTCTCTTGGAGGAGATATATATATATATATATCATATAAAGCTCTTCTTGTATATTACTAAGTATTATAATACATCTGCTAGTGAGGTTCACCCCATACAATCAGTTAAAAACGACGGGAAGAGTCTCGCGATGACCATGTGGGGAACGTCGGGCAGGTTAATTTACTCAGGTGACGGCGGGATTACTTGGGCGGACGCGTCTCACTTCGTTCGCACAGCATTGAAAGCTAGGCGACGGTCGCGAAGGCTAGTAAGCGACACACATTGTGAGCGTTGCCTCGTCCCGCTCCCTTCTACTAGTGTGCTCTATTACGGCAATCGCGCCATGTATGGCAAGAGGCCCTGCTTGGTCGTGGCCGATGATTGTCTACCACGCGCAGTACTGATTGGCGTATATGTATCCGGAGGTCCTAATCTTTGCACTGAGGGATCTGCCCTTGCCCTCCCATCCCGCGTCGTCCGTCGTGGCACGTCCCGCTGGATTTGACCGCAATGGTCGACTGGGAAAGCCCAGAGGTCATCCATACATGTCTTCAGGTTGCACATAAGTTCGACATGTACTTTGCCGGGATCTTCACGTTGAGTCATCCCAGCACTCGTCCTGTGTTAGCTGACATCGATACTGGGCCTCACCCAGATGGCACTTCATCACTACATTCAAACTTCTAGAGTGGCAGCTGTTGACGCGGAAAATAAAGTGGAAGTGGTCATACGTGAGTTTTCGCCTCCGCAGAAGACTAACGACAACTTAGGCGCAGTATCTAGGTGTATTACCTTGGAGCGCGATATTTGTTGCTTGGCATACAACTACCTTTGTGAGCTCACCTTCATAAGTCACATGCCTCGCTTTAACCTGTACACAGACATGAAGTGCTGCAGCCTGGTAAGTGTGACGTACATAATGAAGAATGCCGAACTAATAATTTGTTAGTCGCCACGAAGATTCTAGGTGTTCGTGCTTCTTACATGTCTAGGCGTCTCGCGGGCCACTGAACAGCCTCTGTAGATAACAGGCGCCGTAGTCTGCATCTTTGCAAGTGGGAATCTTCTCTTCAGGGTGTAAGGCCTTGCTATCCTTCAACTGGCAACCACAGGATGTGCTCACGACACGGTAGGATAGCAATATGGAGAGAGAACCGTATTGTTGTCACGTTCTTTGTTCTGCTCGGCATAGGACACTGGGCCGTGTTATTTGCAGGTACCAAGACCTTGCTTTTGGCCAGCCGGCAGCACACTGAATTTTCCGTTGTGATAAAGTGATGGTGCCCTCGGTAATTCGCAACCATGGCAATCCGAGCAAGGGCCCCAACGTCAATGTGAAGAACAAAACCGACGCTTCCGTGCCTTTCTTTCTCTACAGTGCGTCCCTCATTCAAGTCCCACGGCGTAATAGAGTGCGCTGATGGAATGGCGCGAAGCATTCTTGATGGACCTGCTCATCGTCATCATGACGGTCACTGGGCTGTCAAGGCACAGCGCCGCGCGTTCATCGCAGTTGTGGAGGATGTTGTATCGCCAAGGGATCATGTACTCTCTCGTGACGCTCGTCTTCCAGACTCCCACTCTCGTGCGTCCCGACCCTTACTCTGTCTTTCCCGCTGACCCCCTTCATGCCAGATTCTCGCATGGTACACAGCAAGCGGTGCGTCCGCGCCCCTTCCACTCTCGAGCACAGCTAACACGGAGCAACAGAATGCATGCTCGGCGTCTTCAGCAGCCCCGGGCTTGTCGCCAGCACCATAGCATCGTGCTACGCCGTAACCTCGCTCCTCGCCCTACCAGGCACAACAGAACCTGAGAGGTACGTTGTCCTTCCGGCTCGAGCGTCCCGTCTAATCTTTCTCATCTCCATAATGTTCGTGTTCCGCGCCATCACGGCTATAACAGATCAACTGTCTGCGAGAAGGCTAGCGTCGGCAAATCGCCGCCCGCGCGTGGATCCCAGTTGCTAACCACGAACATCAACTTGCCCATGTGCGTGTGCCTGTTGATTCTTGTTGCTCTAATAACTGACTTGCGCGCACTCGTGCCTGTCCCCGACGCGCAGAGGTGTGGAGAGCTCAGAGGCCCCATCGAGTCTCATAGCAACTATCCCGGAGATGCACATGCTTGAAGAGCGCGACCTCGGGATTGCCGAGTGCTCTGGTAGCCCCAGCCGGCACGAATGTGTAGTCTAGCATGGCGAAGAGGACAGACTGTAGCTTTTACCGGCACGCTCGTTGTCCTAGCATGTGTATATCGCGGACCTGCTGGTTCTTGTGGTGCCGCGGCGGGTTTAAAAGGCCCGTGCCAAAACGCGGCACCTGGCCTTGAGATTGTAAACGAGACGAAGTTTGTGATTAGGGCTTGTTTCAAGAGCCTGCCGCTTTGTCCAGGGTTGTGGCTGAAGACCGGGTCGGTCCTATTTGACGTGATGCTGAGCTTGAGCACCCTTGAACAGAACGGTAGGGAAGGATGCGGTAGCGAGCTATGCGTGGAGAGCAGCCCACAGAGCACACCAGCACCTCGGTTCAAATAAATACGATTTCAGTTCGATATAATCTTAAGAGTCGTCGGAAAGCCCGAGCAGTGGCCACGATGAAAAACGGGTGGGATTATACTGCTCACGATATTGCCAAGAGGAGCCAATCAGCTCTTCTATTTGGATGCTCCCCTCCGGCGAGCGTGTAATGGCCCAGTTGCTGCCTAGCAAGCCTGAACACATTACCATCTCGAGCGTCGGGCAATAGGCTGCAAGGAGCTTCGCAACCTCTCCCGATGGGTAGAACCACTCATCCTCAAGGTATTCCCACCGCTCTTCGGGGTAGCCGTCCTCGAAGAGCCGCATGGCCGCTGGAGACAACGACACCGGTACGTCAAGGTTCCAGGAGAAGTGTGAGAGATGGTGGAAGCGTCCGAGCCGCTGTGCGTACTCCCAGGTTGGATATGGCCAATTTGCGGGAGCTTCCTTCGATTGTCGATAGCTATCGCGGTACACTAGGGTAAGAGATTTGAGGTTGGGCAGTTTCTGTGCGACGTCGTCGATGATCTCAGGCTCGCCGTACGTGGTTCCGTCGAGCACGAGGTATTGCAGAGCAGAGCCCTCCAGCGCAGCGAGCAATTCGTCCACGATGAAGGACGGGATGCCGTATGTGAGCGAGATCTTGAGATGCGTGAGGGGTAAGTGATGGTCGGTGGCGAGTGATGCTGAGGTGAATAGGGTGACAAGGTCAGGCCATTCGTCACATTGCACGCCATCGATGGAAGCACGCTCCGTAGTGATAAGCGGATTCCAACTCTGTATGATCTCCGGCGGGGGAAGGATGCGTGGCGCATCACCCGAGCGAGTCAGCCATAACCAGCGAACGTTTGTCAGAGAGGGCATGAATGTCCACGCCGACGAGTCTAGAGCGCTGGAGGTCCATATGGTCAGGTTCGGGACGGCAGAAGCAGGGTGATGCGGCGTGGCCGAGCCTACGACTTTGCTGCACATGATCCGGAGATGTTCCAATTTCTGAAGAGCAATCACGTTCTCCCTCGCTGCTTCAGTGATCACCATGAATGACAGGGAAAGTCTCTTGATATTTGGGCAGCGGGCGATGAGGTCTTGGGCGTACAGAGCGACCGGCAAGAAAAATTTCGTGACGTTTTCATCGAACGGTTGCCAGCCCGCCGAGTTGCAGTACGCCTCCGACCAACCCGTGATGGACAGCGATTCGATGCACTGAGTGATATCGGGCCGCGACTGAAGAAAAGCGGCGTCTCGAATGAAACTGTCTCGCGCAGTCATTGCAAGGGACTGCACGTAGTCGAGAAATTCCGATGGGTTTTTACCATCCACTTCATCCCATTTGGGATCGAACTTTAGCTTCAGTATACGATCCTGCAGTGACACGAATACTCAGACTTCGGGAGCGACATTTGGACCAAAGAAAAGGCGTCGCACCTTATAGATATACGGTAGAGAGACCATCCTCAAGGGGCGACAGGCGGCCCCTAATCGCCTTGCGCCGTCCACGCCGCATGCTTCCATGATAATGTGCAGGAGCTCTGGAGGAAGATCCATAAGGCAAAGCATCTGAAACATGGGTTCGGGATTGGCCTCTATACACTCATTCACCTCCTCTAATCTCCAAGTGAGCCTTCAAGATTGGGTCAGTGGTACAGCCACGCACCATAAAGGCATTTAAAGGCCCCAATTGAGTACACCGTCAACCTCCACTTCTCTTCAAACTGCTTCAGCAGGTTATTCGGGTCGACACAGAAAGAATCGCTCATGAGAGGCTCCGGCGGGTCTCCCGGTAGCATGATAACCTCCCCAGAAGGGTCAAGCACGGGCACCTCCATCTCTGTACTGTGTTCAAGTAGCTCGTGAAGCTCTGCCGCGAATGCCATCCATCGCTTCTTGACAGACCGGTACCTGCATTCATGTCGGCCTGCGAGGTCCAGGATTCCCTGTGACGAGTCAAATCACACAATCTCATACAATACAGCATTTTAACCCACCGTGTGGAAACCCTTCATCATCTCATAGAAGCGCAGGACACGGTACTGTACGCCCCGCGCGCCACAGGGGTCATTACGCGGGTTGTAGGTCGTCCCCTGCCGAACTGTGAACGTGATAGACCTGTATATCCATTGATCTTCTTCCTTCTCGTAGAGCCTGACGGGATATTCGCCCTTATAGCGTCCTGAGAACGAGGGCGCGTGGGTAGGTTGTCAGTCGAAAGACAGACGGGACGCACGAGAATAGCTAGAGTAACGGAGAGTCTCCCTCTCATATTGCAAGATGTCCTCGTCGTCTGAATCCATAAGTGTCGGTGAAAGCCTTCAAGGGCCTAGAGTTTGTGCAGCCACGGTTGACATGTCATTGAGCGAAATCGAGGTGGTCGTGAAAGAGCGAACGACGCGGCCGGCGCTTCAATCCAGTACTATGGGCAGGAGAAATACATATATCTTTGTGGTGCTATGATACATTCACTCCTTTCTGCTTCATGAGCTACTACTTCTGAGTTGGCTTTTGCTTCAAAATTGCCTCAATCTCTGGCTTGATGCTTGCAATCATGTCCTGGGTAGTGTACTTCGGCTTCCAGCCAAGGGATCTCGAGTGTGTCGCACGAGCACGCGAGTTCGTACCTGAGTAGTTGCCATCATCCTGTCGTACACCTCATCAGCATCTTCGTTCCGCACGATCCCAAAAAACGCGTACCACAGAGCCGAAATACTTCACGAGCTCCTCATCCGTGAAGGTTGTTGGCTCAGGATCGTTAGTGAGACCAAGCGCTACCATGGCTTCGCCGATCCCCTTGGAAATGCCGTACCACGTGTGCTCGCCATTCTCGCCAAAGTAGTAGCCGCGAACTCCGTGATCAACGTTCTCGGGGCCCTTGGTGATAATCGCATCGTACAGGATGATGTATAGGTCCGCGACTGGTACGAGTCATCAGCTATATGCAGGGTTTCACGCATATTCCAGAGGTATACGTACCATCATCAATGTGGACGTCTGGCCAAAACGGAAGTCCTTTGCCTACCATGCCCGCCCGGCCGCGGGCGAGAGAAGCCTTGATGAGCATAGGGATCTGAATGGAGAACGGGTTCTGGATGCCTGCATCGACCAGCGGGTTCTTCTCGATGCCATAGATGGTACTAGGCAGAATAATGTAAGCCCTGAGGTAGCCTGTATCATATGGTGAATTTGTCGCGTGCATATTCAACCAGGGCGGGGGTACGTACCCTGCTTGTCGGCCTCGAAGATAGCATTGTCAACATCACGGTGCCGCGCGGTCGGCTTGATATTGGCGATCTGCTCGAAGTCCGAGTCATCGTAGATAACGTCGGTGGCTGCCATTCCCTTGGTCTCTTGGCCTTCGGTCAGGACTCCTGTGCCGGACTGCAGCAGATGCGTCAGTACACGGCTTTGAGACACGCCCCACCGGGACACATACGGTATGGATGAGAATAGGGAGATCGCCAAGCTTCGCATGGCGTTGTCTCAGGCCCTTAAAAATAGCCTGGATAGCGGGGAGGTCATCTGCGTCGGCCTGAAGCAACAAGACGGTCAGAATCGCTCAGGGGTCGCAAGAATGCGAGGGCGCACCAAGGAGAGAACAAGGTGCGCGTTCTCTGCGAGCTTCTCAACCAGTGCAGTATCTTTGTAGGAACCAACGACACTATGGACGCCAAACTGCTCGAGCTTTTTGGCTTTCTCCTCGCTGCGCACAAGCGCTGTGATATCGAAGGTGTTCGCGCTGGGGTGCGAGAGAAACCTGGAGAGGACGGAGCCTCCGATATAGCCTGCAGGACGTTCAGTAAATGATGGTCACTGCAAATCCGAAGACACGCACCAGTCGCGCCAATGACGAAGACTGGGGGTCTTTTCAGCCATTGTTCACGGAAGTTGTGGGTGAAGACTTGTGGGTTGCCGTCCACAGAGACGCATTTTTATGTGAAGCTTTCGACGGTGTCATGGAGTTGAGGATGAGTAAGTGGCCATCGATCCCCATATGAACAAGCGGGAGAGTCAGACGAGCGAGAGGTTTCCGAGTCTTGACGCGACGAGTCACTAGTCACTCCACACCCACGTCCCATTTCGGCAAGTAACGTTATAGCATCGCTTTTCACGGGATATCAAGAGCTCACTGCGTGTTCCTCGCGTACACATCCAGTCTGGCGACTCTGAATTGGTGAACAATATGGTTGCATCATCCAGCACATGCAATTTGTCTCCAAACGGATCTAGGTCCAGGATGGTGAGGCCGTCCGTTATATATCAGCAGCACAGGCGTGCAAGTCACATTTTCGATGGACATGTGCACTGCCCGCATGTTGGCAAGTACAAGGAGGACGAGCACGTTCGTAGAACATGTGTCCTTCCCAAGATGACCTGCGTCCATGCTTTATTGATGCTGGAGCGGCGCGAGAACAAAGGAAGTAGCGGCACAGCCTGATCTGTCTGGCTTTCCCTCCCTTACTCGCTCCTAAAGCATGAGGGTGGCAAGCTGTGCGTAACACTTTCCACACCGTATATCGTCGTACGATAGAGTAAGTACAATATATTACACATGATAGCGATATACTAGTGCCATGGGGACATAATCATCACAGATGAGTACGCCCTACACCAAACGACTGCCTTCTCGCGGCATCTCTTTTACAGAGTCCTTTCGGTCCAGCAGCTCACTGCCGCTCTCAAGACAAGCCAGGGTTCTCTCATCGTTCGTGGTCGCGAAGGCCATCGGGATCATGTTGTACTCGGAGGCCTCGAACTCCGAGAAGCCGAGCTGCGCAATGCTTTCCGCTTGTCCGAGCTCGCGCAGGTCGAAAAAGAGGCGGGTGAAGAGGATCCCGGTGAGCCTGCACAGGTTAGTTGCAGCACTAGACGAAACGCCGGGAGCGAGACGTACGAGCAGATGAAGGGTAGCAGGTACACTTGGCCCTGATAGGGTTCGTGTGTCAGACGAGGAATGGGAAATCAAGGCGGTGCGCTGACGTACCAAAGAATGATACACCAGAACTTCGGCAAGGTTCATGACCAGGGACGAACTGGCATACAAGATGGGCATTAGAAGGCTTGCACAGGTCGTGCAATGCAGAGCGATGCTGACAGGAAGTATACGGTTCCTGGATCACGTTGTTGAGATCTCGAACAGAAGATGTGGGGCGTATACGACTCACCATCACGGATGAGTGTGCTGGCGAAGGGAGTGCGCATATTAACGTCGGCGGCAGTGGCGTAAGTCCGCCATGTCTTCCTCAAGGTGACTGCCAGAACGATCGCGTCGGCAAGGATTGTAGGAAGCCGAGCCGCGATTACCGCTGTCGAACAAGTTAATGACGATCACGAAAACAAGTCGCGTGTACCGACGAACTCCTAGAAACGACGTTGTTAGGGAGTGGCGAACACCATTCCTGTCAAGACTCGCGTACTTGTTGCGCAACTGGTTCGAGAGCGGAAGGACTGAGATGCATCCTGCGAACGGCAAGTCGGTGGTTGCCGCTTGGCTCATGCTAAAGAGAAACTTATAGAGGCCCTCTCAGCACCAGCGGCATGAATACATAGTAATTGACAGGGACTTACAATGTTGACGCCGACCTGGATCATATCGAGAGAAAACACGAGCAAAGCCATGGTGATGCGCCATGGTCCAAGCGCATACACTCGCACTGCCGAGCATACTGAAAGAAATTAGATAAACTCGCATGCAGAAAGGGTAGGGCATACCGGCGAACAGGACCATTAGCAATATAGACAGAACTTGCGTCGCAAGTATGAGAGCACTGCATCTAGAAGGCGAGGCAATGAGTGAGACACAACTAGGTCAAGTGCCATAACTGACCCCTAGCAGGAAAGCATAAGCATGGTGACAGAAGTAGGAGACGATGAGAGACCTACTCGCCGATAATCTGACAACAAGTCGATGATGCCGTATGCCAGGACGCTGTACCTATTCAGAGCGAACAGGATAGTCATCTTAGAAGGCTTGCGCCTCCACACGAAATCCAGTTCCATCCCCAGAGTGATGATATGGTCGTACAAGACCAACGCTAGCAGTGACGGTCAACTACAGTGCGGCAAAGATTGGCGCAAATTTCCACGTACCCATTATTGCCATGCTAACATAGCTTTGTACGATACTGGGCTTTCATATGAGCACCGCGATCAGACAGTGGGAAAAAGAGAAGGGTCTCACGCTCCATCCGCAAATGTATTGATGTCGTCCAACACAATGGTCGAGGGGGCTTCGAACATCCTTCATGCGAGGCGGTAAGATGTGGCTAGGGAATCGCGAGTCAGATGTCAGCACCTAGAGTCCCTTATGACCAATCTCTTGCCGCCGAGGTTGATATCGGGCCCTAGGTTCATTCACCGAGGAGGACGCAGAGTCCGATCGACTGCACGGAGAGCGGCTTTATGGGGCGCACTCGGGATCGTGGAGACGCGCCATGAGGAGCTGCCATTAGGGCTTCTGCGATGCTGTGCGGAGGCACCAGTGCGCACGAGGAACGGGGCAGCGTCGAGAACCCTAACCTTCCCATCGAGTCGAGAACGCCTGAGATAACCCTTTCCGCCCCCCCTCAGCAGCATCGCCTCGAAGCTGATGGAGTCGATGCGGCATGCCCAACGGCATGCTCGGCGTGAGCACACACTGTACTCAGCGGGAGGGAATGAAGCAGCCAGAAGCTTTATGGCAGTGAAGGTTGCTCCGTCTCGAGATGGAAACTACTAAGCAAGCGGAGCGGAGAGATGCGACATATGGGAAAACAAGGGCCGCTCCCGGATGACATTTGAAAGATTCTCAGGCTGCCAACCCATCCTAATAGCGCCGAGAACAGGGTATGTGTAGCGTTGGTGTACGGCCGATGGGAAAGGAAAGCATGACCAAAAACTGGTCACGGATCAAGGCAGAGATTTCTGTCCCAGCCAATCTGTATGTTTGTGGATGTTGATCGATACTAATCATCGTACGAACGGGTGTAGAGACCGATCCCAAAAATAAGGCGTGTCGGGCGTCGTAACAGATGCTGACCACAGTTCAGGGCCATTCAGCGCGTGGAACGGCGCGCGCTTTGAAGTTCAGCAGAACGGGCGGTATGCGCGAGGTGGAGAGAAAGAGGTTGACGACGAGCGATGCCAGAACGAGGTCAGGGCACCGGGCTCGGGGCCCGGGGATTAAACAACGCAACCTCAGTGTCTCGTTATGTCCGTAGCGTTCGTGAGATCGAGAGTGAGAGATGTGGAGCAGCTTGCGTCGCCAGCCAGGTACCAGCAACCAGAGACGAGTAGAGCATCTGCGGCGGCCTGCCTTCACATCGCACGGGAGGCCTGGATAAGTGAAAATATGTAAGTCTTCACCGTTTGCGAGAAAGAGCACCCACACCCACCGTTGAATCGGTGGTATTTTACGTCAACCTAGGACAGGACCGACGTCAGCCACGACAGGAGAAGATCTCATTTGTCTCCATTAGCATACCCTCCACACTTGGCACAATTTATGAAGAGCAGCACGACGATGAGACAATCGTGGACATCAGCGTCGGTGGTCTCCTCGTCGTTTCACGCCGAGTGTTCAAGAAGCGCGCGAGTCGGGATGTCTTCGGCGACTCCCGGAAGTAGAGTGGACAAGTCCGCTTTTGGCAAACGAGAATGAACTTCTGCACTGTGACAATCCTCTCAAAGCTGAAAAGCTCGGCTTCATATCGCTGTTGTCTAATCCACCGTCTAAAACTCGGCATCTCATCCGCAGCTGCAGATCAGGCTGGCTCAAGGCTCTCATGATCCCTCGTCCTCTTTTGCTATTAACGACTTTGCGAAATATGAAAGTTACCTTAAGCTGTAGCTTTGCACATCCCTTCCTGGTCCTGCTCTCGTCCGCACAGACTATGCTCATCAAAATAGTATATTATCCTACCTTTCATACTCCCAATATTGCCGCCAATTACGAAAGTGAATCACCCTTGAAGTCTCGAGAAGTCTGTTCACCGCCTGAGGTTGCAGCTGACCAGACACACGAACGCGATCAACTACGTGCTGCACAGGCGAGCACGGCTATGTGTACCGCAGCTATGCAGATCCCTCACACATGAAAGGGACAATGAAGGTATGTATGAATCCTAGGAGCGCATGGTAAACACGAGGTCCCAGATCTCGGGGTTCTCGCCCCACTTGTCTGGACCTGCAGTAATCTCGTGCTGATAACTCGTTGCGCCTTACATCAGAGCCATAAAACAGAAGCGGGGTACGGTCCATCCCGCCTCGCTAACCGACTCCCAACCTCCGTTGTACCACCACCATTCCCACTGCTGCACACCCAGACGCTCTCTCAACGCTGTACCGTATATCTCTAATGCCTATAGCAGTATCCAAGATGGACTATTATGCCGTTCTTGAGCTCGAGAAGGGCGCCACCGAAGAGGAGATTCGGTCGGCATACAAAAAGCTGGTGCGTTGGCATGCCTCTCAGGTGTCGGGACCGGTCTCTGACACTCGGCTTAATCTACCTAGGCGCTGAAATGGCACCCTGACCGGCACCAAGACCACAAAGACGAAGCACAAGAGAAGTTCGTGGAGGTGCGGCCAATGTTTGATCTACGCTCGGCTAATGTGCTGAGCCTGTCGTTGTGCCGTACCTAGATCAAGGATGCGTATCTTCACTTGCTCGACGAATGTCGCCGGAAGCACAAGCGCAAGGGACGCAAAGCGAAGCCTCCTCCTCCTCCCAAGTCGACTGCTGAGTCTACACACTCGGCGAGTTCGATGGCGAGCTCCAGCTCTGCACGAAGCGAACACGGTGACAAGGCTCATCCGGCCACTTCGAAACCCCACCACGAGGATCACGACCGTCCGAAGCAGTGAGTGTCCATGCATGACCTTTCCGTCCGCATTATGTTCACACTGTCCGTACAGCCGCACGAAAGAGAAATCTCATCGTCCACCTGACCCACCACCGGCGAAGAAGCCGAGCAAGCTCTCGAAACAACCACCGTTGCGTCCGGATCGGGATGAACGTGGGAGCACCTCCCATCTGCGATCTCATCGTCACGACGCGTCCGACGACGAGTGCGTGTATCTCTTCTATTAACAGCATTGTTACCCCTAATCGTGGCCTGCAGGGACCATCCGCACAAGCGACACCGCACCACACACCACCACGAGACGGAAGACACCGATTTCGAGTTTGTCACCCACGCCGACCTGGGCACGCCCTTGCACGCCCTGCATCCCCGTGCGCGGGCAGAGGGGCACGACGCGGCGGAGGGCGACTGGGTCTTCGCGCTGCCTCTCACGCTCGAGGAGCTCTACGCGGGGGGCACGCAGCGGTACAGCGTGACGCGGACGCTGCGCGACGGGCACACGCAGCGCGTGCGGCTCGACGTGCGGGTCTCGCCGGGCTGGCGCGACGGCACGACGGTGCGCGTGCCCGGCGTCGGCAACGAGCGCGCGGACGGCACCTTCCAGGACATCGTCTTCGTCGTCGACCAGGCGCCGGACCCCGACTTCGCGCGCGCCGGCGACGACCTCGTGCTCGCCGTGCAGGTCCCCTGGCGCGAGCGCCGCCCGGAGTCGACCGCGTCGGACTGCACAGATGACGGCGGTGCCGCCGCCGCCGCGGTCCGGGAGGACCATGTCTATGTCAAGGCGCTCAACGGGAACGAGTACGCGCTGCCCATCCCGCGCTCGCTCGCCGCGGCTGCTGGCGGGTCGCGCATCGTCGGCGCGGGGATGCCCATTCGGAAACATGGCAAGATCGTAGGCAAGGGCGACCTCATCGTGAAGTGCGTCTTCCTGCGTTTTTCTTCTTCGTAGCCAAGCTGACGCGGGTCGGTGCCTGCAGATGGGACTTTATCTTCACCGAAGCCGAGAAGGGGATGCGGCTGCGGTGGCACGACCTCAAGAAAGTCATGCACTGGAAACTATGATGTGTATGCTCAGATATGTAGTATGCCACGTAGGTGTTTGTGCAATAGGACACTCTTTCTTCACTTTTTGCCACGGTACATCGGACGCGCGTGGACCGTCCAGGCCCCCATTTTGTAGCAGTAGCAGAGTCCCGCGGACTTATGTATCGCTAGCAACCTCCTGTTGGTAACTCGATATGTAATAATGTCGTTTGTTTCTATCATCGTTACAGGTGGTACCGTACATCAGTACAACATCGCGCTAGGTCTGTCACTGCAGCTACTACTCGAACACACAAGAAAACAAGGGGGCGACAGCAAGAAAAGGCTAGTAAGGCAACAACAAGGTGTCCCATGTATAGTCATGAAAAACATCGTGAATGGAGCAGGTCATGAATGGGTCGTAAAGACATACCACAATAAGCTTAGGGGCAGAAGAACGAAGCAAGCAGCGACTGGTCATACAAGAAAAAACACGAAAGCGAATTAAAACCAAAGGGGTCCATGATCTATAAGGTTCCACTCTAAAAAAAACCAAGCAAGCAAGCAAAGAGACAAAACGCAAGGGGGTCGCAGCACGAGCGCTACGAATCGCCCGACCCGCCATGCCTGTGATCCGGGTTCGCGACGAAGAGCGACGGCTTCGGCGCGAGGCCGTACGTCGAGCTGAGGCGCGTGCGCGCGGGGACCGGCCGCGGCGGCGAGTCCTGTAGCTGCAGCGACGCGCGGCGCTCGTACGCCTGCACGCGCTCGGAGACGACGCTCCCGCCCGGCGAGCGGCGCTGCGGGGGCGACGGCGGCGTGCGCCGCGGCGAGGGTGGCGCGTCGGGCGAGAGCACCATCGCCGCCGTCTCTGCGTGCGTCATGCCCACGGGCGAACGCACGAGCGCCTCTGCCGAGCTCTCGAGCACGAGGGCCAGCGCGTGCTGCTCGCCCTCCTCAGCCCGATGTGCCCGCGGACGCTCGCGGCCGCCGAACTCGCCTAGAGGGGGGAGACCGCCGCCGTCTGCGGAGCCGGCGGAGTGGGTCGTCGTCGTCGTCGTCGAGGAGACCTCGCGGCTGGGGCCGCCGCCGGTGATGCTGCCCCCGGTGCTGCCGCGTTGGGACGAGCCCGCGGTGGAGGCTTCCTTCTGCACGATCTGGTAGGAGGTGGCGACGCGCTCGAGCGCGGCCGAGTCTGCCGTGCGTGCGGTCTGGAGGGACGACGCGGAGCGGCCGTGGTGGTGCGTCGCGAGGCGCTGTTGCTGTTGTTGCTGCTGGGCGTGCACACCACCGCCGCTGCCGCTCTTGCGCTTCCCTTCTGGGCTGTCGGGCGAGGTGGAACGCATCGACTCCTCGATGGGCAGCAGCCGCGGCGGCTGGTTCGGGTCGCGGAACTCGAACGGCCGCTGCGCGCGGCTCGAGCTGCTCCCGCGACGGTCGAGGAGCGGCGCCTTGGCGAAGCGCGCCCACCAGCTGTTCGACCGCTTGACGAGCTGACCCTGCGGCGGCGGATTCGCGTCGATGATGGATGACGGGCGCCGGGGGGAGTGTGGTGGATCGTGGGAAGTCGACGACGATGAGGAGACGACCGCGGGGCTGCGTGGCATCGGAGCTGTCAGGGAAGATTCCGAGGATGTTGCGAGGTCCGTGAGAGTTGGCAGCGACGACCGCTCGGTGACAGGGGTCAGTCGTGTCAAGTCCAATGTCGCGGGGAGACGCAGGGATTGGAACTTCGGCAATGGAGGTGGGTCGCGTAGTGATGGGTACCCTCGAACCTCATCATCCTCGTCGTCACGGTAGACAGCATCCGAGTCGTACTTGAGAGATTCTACGTCGCAATCATCGAAGGGGTCAACGTAAGTGTAAGATGATTCCTGCCGTCCACCTCGGGGCCGGGAAGCGTTCAACGGTGGTGCAGGGTATGCAGAGACGCCGAAATCGTCTCTGTACGGGTCGAACGGACTCGTACGCTTCTCGTCCCAGATGGCAGCATCCAAGGTCGTTGCCTTGGACGCGGTGCTCGGTTCTCTTGACTTCAGGCTCCGTGTGCCCGCAGCCGCAGCACCTGCGGCGTACTCGATCATGGCGCCACCGACGGTACGCAGGGAGGCCAGAGAGTCATAAACCCTCTCGAGCGTCGGACGTCGCCCGAAAGCCCCTCCGCCGCTCGGGTTGCGACGAACATGGTGCCAGCCATCTTCGTCGAACTCGCGTGTGTCTTCGTCGGCGAGCATGTCGCGGCGTTCCTGCCGATCCTGGGCCGTGGCAAGTCCAGGCACGACCCTGCTCAGCCTATCCCGCACGGAGCGAACGACAGGCACGCGCGGCAGGCCCTTTTCTCGGGTGCCTGCCATGCCAGCGACCGGGATAGGGCGACGGCCGTACGAGCTTTCCTCGTCTGCAGAGTCGCTGAGGAGATGGAAGCTTTCCTGTGACCGGCGGCGTCTGATGTACCAAGTGGCGGCGGCGCCGCCTACCAGGAGGGCGAGAGCGCCGAAGGTGCTGGCCAGTGCGACTGTCGTGGTGTGGCTCTTCGCATCAGCACCTGTGGATGAAGGGTCCCCGCCATTTCCATTGCCGCCCCCATTGCCATTCCCGTTCCCATTCCCATTCCCATTACCGTTTCCGTTCCCATTGCCGTTCCCGTTTCCGCTACCTCCAGGGCCGCCCTGGTTGGGATTGCCCCCGCCGCCACCTCCTGCAGTAGTCGACGCACTCGGCGCGGGCCAGCCCGCAGTGGGGGGCAAAGCGGTGCCTGTCGTCGTTCCTGTCTGGCCAGGCACGGGCAGCGTCGTCGCCGTGGGGCTCGTGACGGCGGCCAGGGGCGTGTATGCAGTCTGGAACGCGCCCGAGGACAGGTCGAAGACGGCGAGAGACGCCGGTGCTGCGCCGTTCTGCGCGTAGCCTATGGGGGACAAGTTCGTTTCACCGTGTCAGGGACTGCCCCACGTTGCGCAAAGAATGGAAGAGACCCTACCGAAGCCCATGATAGCGGCAGTGCCCAGGCCGACGGCGAAGTGGTCGCGCCTGGGACCGAGCTGTGTAAGCGCACTGACGTTGGACCACACCATGGGAGACTGCGTCGTGTCGAGGACCCAGCCGTCGCTGAAGCTGTTCTGGAGGACCGCATCGGCACCGCCCTGGATGAGGACTTGACCTGAATCTAGGACGGTTGCTGCAAAGTTGCGACGCGGAGGAGGCACAGAGGAGGTAGACACGGATAGAGTGGACCAGGTGAGGCTGGATGGTTGCGTGAGATCGAGAGACCATATGGTGCTGAGGGGGATCAAAGACTCCTCTGACGGGGAATAGCCTCCAAAGACGAGCAATTTTCCGTCAGAGAGCACGGCAGACTGGTGGCCTGTAATGTCCGGAGGTCCGTTCGCAGAGGGAAGGAGAGTGAAGGATGGACCGTTCGGGTTGAAGACGTAGTGTTCAGAGAATGCACTGCCAGAGCCGTCTGCCTTTTCCCCTCCTACAATCCATACCATCCCAAGCGCCTCGACTGCAGAGTGGTACATCCTGCGCATCGGTTCATTGGCCCATGAGTCCGTCTCAAAGTCCCAGGTAGCGTTCGCTGAGCTTGGCACGTTGAGGAGCACCGCCGAGTCGTTCCTGTCAGGCAGCACTACGGGAGAGTTGGGACCAGGGTCTCCACCAAAGAGGAGGAGGGTGGAAGTGTTGAAGGGGGTGAGTGTATGCCATGCGACTGCCGGACCTTGCGAAGAAGAGCAGTTCTCGCAGCCCCCGACGTACTGGATGGGCGGCGAGGTGAGATCAAAAGAAGAGGCGAGGGACAAGGAGAGCAGGTCGTTGTTTGGCGGCGCAGAGCTGTAGGAGAAAGCGTTGTACGGGTCCGTTCGTCCGCCGTGTATATAGAGGGTATTTGCAACCAGGGCTACGGCTTGACCCCATCTGGAGCGGCGTCAGAGCCTATTTATCTGGCCAAGAAACAGGCGACGCGTTACCTCGGGATCGCTGAGTACTGGGACTGGGCGGCTGCGAGGTCGGGTACGAAGCAGAGGACGAGGAGCGACAAAGAGAGCATGGTGTTTATATATGAAAGAGGGCTACAGCGTCGAGGATGGATACATGGGCTGTGTGTTGTCGTGAAAAGCGTCGTGAAAGTGTCGTTAGGAAATGCGGAGGCCGCTGGGGCTGCCTGTGGAGCAGTTGGAGACGGGCATGCAGCGGTGTGAACTCGCGGTTGAACGATCTCCGCGCCCGCCCAGGCGCGCCTTTGTTTGGTCCTGTTAGTTTTCGGGGCCCAAGCTTGCCCTTTTCGGACGCGGCGCACCCAAAAGCGCCGCCGCGACGACGCTTGGAATATTAAATATTCTGTCCATGTCGGCCGCTTTGCCTTGCCCGCTTTGCTGATCTGAATCGGCGTGGTGCAATTACATAACGATGGTACGCTTTTACCGAGTTCGTGTGCGCTCTTGCGTCAACTTGACTCATTGGTCCATCAGTGCCAACTCCAAGGTAGCCTTGCCTTCAGAGGTTATCCCACACCAGTCAAATCGCTTCTTCACGCGTTCACCTGGCGCCCCCGTAAAACTTCTCTTCCAATCTCTAGGTCGAGGCGTGCGCATTACAGGGACGACTGTCCGTCCGTACGCCGTATGTCTTACCCCACGCTCCCTTTTCAAATGCCGTAACTGAGCCCTAAGATCGGCAAAGAGGTGTACGGCGCAGTCTCACGGACGAGGTGCCCGGGCGTGCGACTCGACACCGCCGTTGTCCGCATGTCTCCCGCCAAGTCGACGCCATCGCCGATCAGCCCGCCGCCCTGCCCAAAGCGATGCGTCCAGTGTCACCCACGACGCGGCCACTGGCGGGCTCATGCGGCATCCGCCCTATGCCCCATCCGTGCCACCTGCTCCCCCTCTTCCCCAACGCGTGGTCTCTCGCGCCGCCAATCACGTCGCGTACGAACGCAAGGTGTTCCTCAACATTTGTGGACAGACCCGAATACGTCGGGAGAGCCCTTTGGCTGCTTCCTGAGCGGTCCCGACGTCGGGATTCTCTCCACCTTACAGCGACTTTTTCTCCGCACAACGCCCTCGTCGACAGCCGTCTAACCACGGCTGCCGCCATCCAAGAACCCACAGTGGCTCCATCCCAAGTACGCACGGGCGCGCACGAACCGAGACCGATGACGCCACAGTGGGCCTGTGGTTCGACGCATGTGTCCTGACCCGTGTGCTGCCCTCTGGCGCGCGGCGGGAGAAGGCGATCGCAGCCGTGATACGGGGCTGTCCAGAACTCGCACTCGAACAGCTCTGCGTTGCCGCTGAGGAGTGTCCGGTCGGGCCTTTCGGGACACTCTTCTTATCTCGTGTGGCCGGGCTCGCCGACCGCAAGATTGTCGCAAGGAGTTGCAAGCCTTGGAACATCAACCGTGCATGCACCGCCGGTACGCCACCGTATCAATGTTGGAGGCGCGAGCGGGCACCGCGAGAGTTAGTGGCGGTAGGAAAAATTGGTAACTCATGCCCTGAGGCCCATTCACGTCGACTCGAGTTGCACCCTGACTCGCCTGATGCAGCGGCCGAGAGAAAGGGCGGGAGACGACGGACCCCGCCTCGCTCCATATCAGGAAATGTGCCGACGCGACACGTCAGTGACGATGCTCTGCACCACCTCTGCACCTGCTTTAATGTTCGGCAAGGCCCGCACAGACCTGAAGCTAAATATCAGGGCCTCAGCGGCAAGCACACCCGCCCATAAAGTGCGTTGCTCACCTAGGAGATAGTGGTTACGTTACACGCGCTCCGAGCTCGGTCCTACGGAAGGACAACCGAGCATGCAGCCGGGGCAGAAAATCTCGTGTCAAGGCCACAACATTCCCATACCGCTGTTCTGGCTGCACAGTCATGGGCGCGTGCGGTACTCTCCGTCAATCGGGGTATGTCTGAAGCCAGCCCTGCCGCTGCGGTATGAAATTGTGATAGGCTTGTTGCAGTGCCTCGCAACATTCGTACTACAGCATTCATATGTGTCTACACGATCACTGCGCCCCTGCGCTTGCTGCGGGAGACTATGCGCTGCTGGCAACGCTGCATCGCATTGTCGGGCACCGCGACGCCGCGCTTTTCGCTGGGTGGAGGGGGCACGCCGGCCCGAAGACGCTAGAAGACCTCGCCTTCCCCCTTAGCTGATGGCACTCCCCGGCTGTGACGCAAGCAACACTCGAGCCAGGCGACCTGCCCCGGCGTGGCTCGGCGCGGTTCCACTGTGATCTCTCGCTGGCACGTTTCTACAATTGCAACGCGCATGCCCACTTGCGGCGCGAGGATCGTCCACACGCCAGAACCGCCCGACAGAGCGTGCCCCCGTCAGCGCAGTCGAGGCCCGCTCTCCGCTGCTGTCTTTTTCTTTTTTTTTTTTTCCCACGAGAGCGGCGGCTCGTGTCGAGAACCAGGTCTCTGCCCCATCTGCAGGCAGCGTAGTGCCCATTTTGTCCCAAGCGCCCGAAGCACGTACGGGGCTGGTGACGGTGCACTTCTCCCGACGAGGACGTTGCACGCAATCTGTTGCACACTCGCGCCCCGTTTGATGCCGCACATGTGCCTCTGGCAGCAACTCCAATCGGCTGCAGCTGCTGCGTTGGCAGGGATGGCGGACATAGCAGCTGGTACCAAGTTAACAGACCACGGATTTTCGCGCCTAATCCACTGTTTGGTCTGTCGTCAGCCGCAGAGACTAAGCAGCTGGAGGCACGGCGTAAACGCACAGGATACAGTATGCCGCGTACACCGAGGCGGACAAGTGAATCCACCCGCCCATCACCGTCGAGTCGGTCGACACTGTCTGGATGCTTCACCGCCACGGAAAACAGGTCAATTCAGTCGTTAGTGTCTCAGGTTACCGAGACGACGTGCTAATGCCGAAGGGGACCCAAATGCCTGTTCTGAAGGGAGAACTCCTGGGTGTTGGTCAGCACGACGCACCGTCGGCGGTGAAGGGCGAGCGTAGCTGCTGCCCATGTCAGCAACAGCCGACGTTCACTTTGTCAGCCAGTACGTGACCAATGTCGAGAGCCCTTTTTTTACATAAGGATGTTGGCAAAGTAGCCGAGCTAGGGCGGGAAGCGCGCTGCGCGGCGTCTGCGGTGGATGGGCGTCTTGGAAAAAGCGGCACAGAGGCCAGAAGCCAGAGGCAAAGTTTGCGAGGTGGGTGAGTTGCTACCATCGGACGGCGGTTCCGGGGTCTGAGCTGCGGTACGCGCCGAGGTAGACGCGTGAGTGCATCCGGCAGAGGTTGTTGGGCATGCGTGGAACCCGATCCACCTTGTTCTCCACTGATTCAGTTGTGTACATATCGTGATCAGCTGGCTGCTGAGCGGCCTAAGCCCGACATGGGCAGAGCACCGCGGCCGCACTTCTCACAGCGAGCAGCTTCGCACATTCCCACTTCCGCTGTCCGGGTCGGAGCGCCTGAGAAGCAGAGGGCACCCCCGGCGCCAGAGAGCCTGCGCTGTCGAGGGCTCGTCAACCGCCCGCCGTGCGCGTTTCAGGCTAGGTACGACGGCTCGCGCGATCGCGTTCAAGAGAAGGTTAATTCCGAGTCCCAGCGTCCGATCACAGCTGGCTGATCCTCCGCAAAGCTGTCATCCTGAAACGCCCTGAGGATATGTTTTCCGTCGATCAGCGTCCGAATCCTGCCCAGGGCCGCTGCCACCAAGCCGCCCTCATCGGTCAATGGCACTCGCTCGGGCGCTTGTCTGTCCCCGAGGCAATGTCGAACCAAAGGTTCTCCATGTCCTTCGTCGATCGTACTGATACAGCGGACAATACATCGGTGTCTGTGAATGCTGTCATCCAAGGCGCAAACTTAGGCGCAGTTGATGGCCGCGATGTACTCCCTGGCTTCGTCGTTGTTGGCAGCCTCGAGAACCTGCGAAGCGCGAGCAGCAGGGCTCAGCGATACGAAGCACACACACACAGCCCAAAACGCCACAAACCTCAATGAGCCGCTTGACGTACTTCTCCATCGCCTCCTCCTTCAAAGTGCCCTTCACCTTGTTCCACGCATCCCTTCACAATATTTCAAGGTCAGCGAACCGTAAATCTCCCGAGCGATGCCGCCCGCCCGGTCTTCAAAGAGGCTCTCGCACACAGATCACCGTCGACCGCCCGTGAGTCGCCCAAGATTGAGTGGGAACGCATCCAGAGATTGCGCGGCATCGCTTCGTCCACACGACAAAAGCGGTACGCACCACTTGGCCTTCCCAACGAAATCCAGCAGGCCAGGGCGCGGGGTGTTGACATCGCCGACGGTGGCTACAAAACGCGTTCAGTCCCCCCTGGCCCCTCGTGTAACCGAAACGATTGCAACGCGCACCCTGCTTGTAGTAGCTGTAGAACTGCAGCAACGCGTCAGTTTCCATCAGCGCAAGCATGCAGCCTTGTACCCACGAAGAGCTGGTCCTCCTGTTTCGGCTGGATGGGCCCGTCTTTGGGGAGACCCTGGACAATTTTTACGGCATTGTCAAACTGGGCTTGCGACATGTTGGTGAGGATGGGAACACGAGATGGTGGTTGCTGGAGAAGATGCAGGCGTATGTCTGTGATCGACCCTGCTGTAATCTCATCGCCATCTTCCCCAACGCTTACGGAAATGGCAAGTCTCGCACCCGAGACGTTGAAGCTCAAGCCTCAGGCCTCAGGGTCGGCTGGCAGCAGCAGGGACAGGGATGGGTGGTGTTGCCAGTGTCAATAACGAGATCGTATGCTTAGCCTGATGATAGGATAAGGCGGAATGACACGAATACATGGGACCCGGCACTAGATAGTATCTCATGGCCGGAGGGCGGGTGCACATGCCGAATTCGAAGCAAAGTCCGCTGCGCCAGTCCGTGCGCCCTCCGCAGTCTTCTCCCAACCGTTTAACAACCCATGTCGTTCGTCCACGACGTGAGGGAAGGCGAACTCGCTGGACGAGCCGACGTCGAGCTACTACGTCGCGAGACCAGGGTGACCATGACGCCAGCGCCAGAATAAAACTCCGCCAACTCCGCCCCCGCCACTATTGAACAAGCATCGGGCTGATACCCATCGTCACCACTGGCCATAGCACACCTCGAGGCAACTGCAGCTCCCGCGCGACGCTGCACACACCTCCACCGCATCGCACACACGCCGCCAGCGACATGTCGTCCGCAACGTCCGCAACGTCTTCCCGCTCTGTGCCGCCTCCGTCGCACCAGGAGATCGCCCGCAAGCTGTCGGTGCACTCGATGGCCAAGCCGAACGTCAAGGTCCGCATGTTTTGCCCTAGTGTATCGCATGCTCGCTGTCTCATCTGGCCCTGCAGAAACCCCCAAATCCTGTCTCTGGTACCGAGTCAGACTCGGACTCTGTGTTTTCGCCGGAGGCTCTCTCGCCGCCAACGCACCCCGCCACCACGCTCTTTGCCGCCGGGGGCATGTCGCATCCTCCGCTTCAATCTATCGCTGAGCGAAGAACTGGCAGTGGCGAGGAGTCGGACGAAGACGAGGAGGATGAAGAGGGTGGATGGCATGTCGAGACTCGGGAGCAGGAGCTCGCTCGGGAGTCGCATGACGAGACTGTTCTCAAAACGGGTTACTTGTGGAAGAAGGGCGAGCGGCGAAAGGTACGTCACAGTAACTCATGTCAGGCATTCAATATTAACTGTTGAATCCAGACTTGGAAGAAGCGGTGGTTTGTCCTCCGTCCCGCCCATCTTGCCTTCTACAAAACGTCGGCCGAGTACAAGCTTCTCCGCCTTCTCGACCTCTCTGAAATTCACTCCTGCACACCCGTCCAGCTAAAGAAGCATGCGAACACATTCTGTATGATATCCCCCACCCGCACTTTCTACCTCCAGGCCGAGTCCTCACAGGCGGTGACCGGGTGGATGAAAGCCATTAATGATTCCCGGCAGATCCTATTGGCAACGTCGACCCAAAATACTACAACGACCGCCCCGATACCTATTCCTCGCTCCATGTCTCAGGGACCCCATCCGCAGGCGACTTCGCCGACGATGTCTCACTCGCATTCGCCGTACAATCACCACTTGACATCTTCTGAGTCAGAGGATAATTCGCCATCGAAGCCTCGGCCATACAGCACCGTGAATACGGTCCCATCCGGGTCAGCAGCGACAACAGCCGACGCCGCGTCGCCGCTGCGCCAGCCGGGGCCAGTAGACCCATCAAAGGTTATTCTGTCGGGGTACCTCATGAAGTGCGGCTCGCGACGGCACGTCTGGCACAACCGGTGGTTCGTCCTCAGCGGGGACAGGCTGGTATATTCGCGTAGCCACATGGTGCGTTCTAGCCTGACTCATGCCGATAGAGTTCATCATCCCTGACGTTTTGCACCCCTTTCTTCGCTTCCATGCTGCTCTTGCTGTGTTCCCATGACACACGCCTCGACCCGCCGAGCAGGACACGAAGCCGCATCGTTCGATTCCCCTCGCACAGATCCTCGACGCCCTCGAATACGACCTGCCCGCTGGCCGGCACCACCCAGGCTCGCAGACGGTGTCCCCGCCGCACCCGTCACACGGCGGGGAGGAGCACGACAACGCGGCAGGCAAACACACGTTCAAGATCGTCACCACGAAGCGGACGCTATTGCTCTGCGCGCCAAGCGAAGAGGAAGAGATCAAGTGGCTCAGTGCGGTGCGGGCGCTCATAGCACGACGATCGGTGGTCCCCGGCGATTCGGCGGCGGCGCCTGGCGCTGCCTCTCCGTCGGTCCCTGCTGGTTCTATCGGTGCCGCATCTGCGAGGACGGCGGCGCTTGCGATGCCACCACATACCCCGACCGCGGCGTCTCTCGACGCGCAGGCGGCTCACCTCTCTGCACACGTCCACCACGCTTCGGGTGCTTCTGGCAGCAGCGGCGGCGGCGGGGGGAGCTCCGTGAACAGCGGAACGCTCGGGGCGTCGTCGGCCGCGAGCATGTCGACGTCGGGGACTGCGACTGCGAGCGTCGCAGGAGCGGCTTCGACGCATCGACGGAAGGACTCGTTCGCGCGACGGCTGAGCCTGAGTGGCGCGAGCGGGTTCCTGGGCACGAGCCTGCACTCACCGACGACACCGGCGGGCGTGTCCCAGGAGGCGTAATAGCCTTTTCGTCTGCGGGCCCGTCGCGCCGAGAACGCCCGGGGGCGGACGAGCGAACGACGAGAGGGACGGGGCCCATCGTCGGCGGCAATCTAGCCTTACTGGGAGGGGGGGTTGTGGGGAATGCGGCGCTCGTGGGATCGTGGTGCACTGCTTGTCGATATCTGGCGGGAGGGCATCATCATCTGCTTCCGCGCAGGGGAACGTGGCCCAGCTTCTCTCGGACGGTCGGACATGCGGTGTTGCGTCCTCGCCTGGTTCTTTTCCGCCATACTTACCTTGGATCGGGGACGCCCATTTCCGCTAGCTGGATTCGTATACGGTTCTACATAATAGGGTTTTTGACCTGCAATCTGCTCAGCCTGTCTCCGTGGCATGGAGCATTCCTCCGTCTGTTTTTTTTTTCTGGTTTCTGGCTCAAGTTGTGCTAGTGCAGCTGGCGATGGCGTGACCGCCGCATGCAGTACGTTGGTATGGGTTGCATAATTGTATTGTAAGTACTCGCGACAGATTATATGAAATGGTGGATCTTCGGAGGATGGGGATGGCAATAGCGGGACCCAAGACGGGGCTGGATATCCGCGTATCTCGTGCTTCGTATCTCTCCGCAGCTGGAGGCGTGGCTGGGGTGGGTGGGGAGGCTATTTATTGCCTAGGCCAGTGGGCGACTGCCTTTTGTGCGCTAGGGCCGGGGCTCGGGCTGTCGAACGTGTGCTGCGCTTGCGACCATCAGCGGGAGGGCGGGTGTGCCAGCTGGGGTGGATCACGTTACAGTCGTGCCATTATGCCCAGCGATGGAACTGGGATCAGACAGAGTGAATGGGGGCGGCTGTCAGCGGGGTGGAGAGGGCGTGATAGGGTGACACTGATTGTGTCGCGAGCAGAAGAAGCCTGGTGGGATGCTTACCTCCGATTCGTCGTAGGTTTAGGTAACAGAAGCGGCGGTTGGCTCTACTGGGAAGTCGACAAGAGAGCAGCAGGCTTGGCCAAGCGAGAGCGAAAGCGAAATGGCGAGAATGCACTGGTGCCTGCTCGACACGGTTTCTTTTTCTTTTTCTTCTCCTCCTTCTTTCCAGCGCCAGGGTGGCCGGGGCTTCGCTGCTTGGCACCCTTTCCTACAAGCTCGAGGCGGATGTTCTTGTCGTTCTTGTCGTCGTGGAATGGAAAGCGCGGTGATGAAGGAGGCGAGCCAGTGAGAGACGCCCGATAAGACGCGTTGTGATGGGTGAGTGTTCTAGACGCGATGCGTTCCCGGATTGGGCGGGTGCCTTACGAAATGGCGCCCCTCCGATCTCAGCGGCTGTGTGGACCCTTGTGACCGGCCCAGTGACTCAGCGAATGACGGGCCTCGAGGCGGCCGCGGCTACATTGTCCGTGTCGCTTACGAGAGAGCGTCTGGGGCTCGCTGCACGAGATGAGAACAAAATCGGAAAAAAATTGGCAGGACAAGTGAGGGCATCGTCTCCGGTCGCTGGCCGTCGCTGGCGAGCGTCGGACGAGGAGGCCGGACATGATCGGGCGTCTCGGCACCCCAGTTCTGATTGGCTTGGGCAGCGGGCGCTATGTGTCTGCCTCGAGCGTCAACATTCTCCCACGTCGCCGGAGGTGGGGACCCCCCGATTGCGTTGGACCCCGATAAGCGCTCTACGGGGGCTCGGTCGGGTTGATGGGAGGTATATAAGAGGGCGAGCGTCTTCGGGGTCCGGAGCCAAAGTTCAGTCGCCGAGTATGGATGCCTCACAGCCGCTGGCCAAAGACAGCTCTCGCACGGTTGAACAACCGCCCAGAGTACATATACCTCAATCTTCGCCTCCACTGCCTCTCGCCCCTCATCTCATCCCTCCTCCGGTCGACTTGAACAATCAACATCTGCCCACCACGACGTCCCCAAACCCCCCGCTTCCACCCCCTCCTGCCGTCATGTCAGACGTCGCGCAGAGCCCCCGCAAGACCGTCTCCTCCGCCTCTGCAAACGCCCGCGCCCAACAGCAGCCGCAAAAGAAACCCGGAGCGCCGAAGCCAAAAGGCGCCGTCAGAGCAAAGTCTGGCTGCTATACCTGCAGAATTCGCCGGAAGGTACGCGTCGGGCGTTCCCCAGGGCGTTGACGCCCTCTCTGCCCCTCTCTTCGTCATTTTAAAAGAGTTCACCGATCGCTCACATCGCGCGCCTCTAGAAATGCGACGAACAACCCAACGAACATGGCGCTTGCCAGACTTGTGTGCGCCTCCGTCTTCAATGTCTCGGCTTCGGTGCTAAGCGGCCAGATTGGATGAGGGTCAGTCGACGCTTTGTGCCATATAGGCGCAGAAAATTTTACTGATGGTCTTGTGTTCATAGGAGAACAACAGTGTTACGGAGTTGAGAGAGAAGATCAAGACTTTCCTGGCCTCGCAGGGCATGATCAAAGGGCACTCTGGCTCGGGCCCACGGTCCCAGGAAGGCGAGCCGCAAATCCTGACCCTCGTCGACAACCTCCAGCCCCAACCACCTTCATCCCCCCCTACCCCCACACTTTCTTCGGGCTCGAACGACCAGCACCGTCAGCCGCAGGGTCCTGAGTCGTATGTCCGCAACGCGTCCTACCATCACCCGCCCCCTCCCTCGATGCCGCAGGACCAGTCGCATCATCCATACGCGCCGCCGCCGTCGCAGACCAGTATGTACCCTCCTGTGTTTATGTATTCTACGCCCAGTAGTAATTTCGTGCAGCCTGGTCCCATAATCTTCCAGAGCTGAATGCCCCTAACCATCCCCCTCACACTCATGATGCGTCTCTCGGCAGAGGTCCTCTCCTGCCCAACGACATCTTGTATATGCCCTCCAACCCTATTCCAAACCCTAATAGTATAGTGAACCCGATGTCTTCTTCTGCACCTCCTCCCCCCTCGTCGTCTTGTAAGACTCCGTACCGCTATTAGTGTATTATGAATGTATTATGCTCAATGCCCTCTTCGTTGGCAGGGCCGTCGTCGTATAATGGATCGTTTGGCTCAATATCTTCTGCGTCCGCAATGTCTGTCTCACCAACGTCTTTCACTCAAGTCCAACAGCAACCCATGCAACAACCTGTGCAGCAGCCAATGCAGCAACCTGCACAACACTCCATGCAACAACAGTCCATGCAGCAACCTATGTCATCCGCGCAACAGCCCGTACAGCCCGCTCTTGGGAGCAGTTTTGGTTCTTTGTATACGGAGTCGATCTACCAGACTGACGACGATGCTCAGGACTCACCAATCCAAGATCCGAGCAACGCGCTGGCCCTCGCCTCAAGCATTCGAACCTTTGACCCCTCGATACCCTATGAGCAGAATGGCCTTGTACAGCACTACATGTCCAACGTCCTGCCCATCCAATACCTCCTCTCGGACTCCTCAGTCATCCGTAATTTCATCTACGACCTCATCCGACAAAGCTCCTCTGCTCGGGATGCGGCATGTATCCTGGCAGCTATGCATCGCGATCGCATGGGCATGACTGTCACCAACACCGTGCCCGTGCCTCCACCGCAGTTCCTGATACGCCGGCTGTTCGAGAGCTTGGCGGGCAAACAGCAGATCAACGAAGGAGACGCCATGGCTGGCCTGCATGCTGTCTCGACCATTCTCTTCAATGGCGGCCGCGGGGCTTGGGAAGCTTTCCTCGCCGTGGCAAGCCAGTACGTCTACCAGGTGCTCATGAATCCGCGATACCCTGGCCCCGAAGAGGTGCTTCGCAACTGCTCTGAGAGCACACGCTTCATCGTGAAGACGACAATGTGGTTCGACGTACTCGCTTCTGTGACTACGCAGCAGATCCCCCGCTTCCTCATGATCTACCGCCAGCTCTTCGACCGCACCCGGCGCGCATACATCGAGGACGCGTCCCATCCCGGCCCGCCCGAGCTCTCGATGCTCCCCGTCATGGGCTGCGAGAACAACATCGTGCTCGCGATCGCGGAGATCTCGAACCTGGCGTGCTGGAAGGAGAGCCAGGTCACGCGACACTGCCTGAGCGTGCCCAAGCTCGTCGAGCGCGGCCTCGAGATCGAGGCCAAGTACCTCACCCCGGGCGGCGCCTCGTCGCCGTCGCAGATGCGCGTGAACGGCCTGCCGAACGGTGGGCCCTCTGCCGCGGCCGCGGCGATGGCGAGCGCCGCGTACTTCGACCCGTCCGCGGCGGCCTACACGAACAGCGGGTACGCGTCGGGCTCAGCGTACGGCCCCGGCGCGGGCACGGCGCACGGCGCGCCAGAGGTGGAGCTGCGGCGGCGGCTGACGAACGACATCTTCCGGGCGTCGGCGCGCGTGTACCTGCACACGGTGCTCTCGGGCGACTACCCGTCGTGCCCCGAGATCGTCGCGGCGGTGACGGAGGTGATCGAGTGCCTGCGGCGGGTGCCGCTCGACAAGGCCCTCGTCTCGCGGTCCGTGCTGCGGAGCGTCGTGTTCGGGATCTGCATCAGCGGCTGCCTGACCGACAGCCAGGACCAGCGGCGCTTCCTGATGCACCTCCTCGACACCCAGCAGCGCGAGGCGGTCGGGAACGTCGCGGAGGTCAAGCGCCTCATGCAGCACGTCTGGACGCGCAGGGACACCGAGGGCGGCATCGGGCAGCCCGTGAACTGGCGGGACGTCATGCGCGACTCGCAGCGCGAGCTCCTGCTCCTCGTTTGAGCCTTTTATACCCCCCACGCACACACACCTTGCAGGGCGTCGGCGTGTCGTCCCCGGCTACTATTTAACCTTTCGCCTTGGCGGTGCGTTGCCCCCACGCCGCCAGCCTCAAGCCCCCTGGCGGCCGCTCATGATGCCCTAGACCCACCGCCCACCCCACTGGCGCAGCAAATTTTTTTTGACCGACGCTGACAGGTCCCTAGCGCTGTCATGGAAAGAGAGCGCGCGCGGTCGAGATAGAAACCTAGCGAACCTCATAAAGAACGTCTATGCATACCCTCCAGTCTCTCGTCATGTCTCCCCTGTCTGCTGCCCATCTGCTCACATCATAAAACCTTTTAGGAACGATATGTTTTGCTTTCCCGCTTGCTTTGCTTTCCACGTCCATTGATACCTCCTTCATCCCCCCTCTGCCAAAAATACCACTCAGCAACGGTTGTACATAAGCGCAAACTTCTCTCCGCCTTCTCGCCTCCCCGGTTCTAATGCCTCTGTTGTACCTCTTCATCATCATGGTATCGCTGTCTAGTTGCTTCCGATCGCTTCTACGTCGAGTTTGGAACTCTCTCTCACGTCCTGTGCTGTCTAGGATCTTTTGAATGTAATCTTCACCGGGTCGTTGACCTCCTGGCTGCCGTGTCCGCTGCACGCTTCGCCGGTTCCCAGGTCTGTCATCCTCGCCAACTCTGTTTCGCTCTCAGGGCCGTGTCTGATTGAGCCCGCTCGCACCTGCCGTCGCCGGTGGCGAGCCTAGGAGGACGGCGGACGCAAGTTGGATGAGCCGCGATGGTGAAGCACCTCGGACTCGAGGACGCAGGATCCTTCCGTGCGCACCAGTGGGCCGCCTCGAACCTTCCTATCCCAGCCTCACCCACAGCCCTCACGCGTACGGCGCTCGCTGGAGCCCCAGCTTCGCGGGCGCCTGTGCGGAACAACGCGTGGGCGCGCATATGTGCTTGGACCGAAGACACGGGCCGGGCCTGCCTCTTGCGGACAAAGACACTTCGCCAGCCTCCGTTGCGACGCGGCCCCACGAGCGCCCGTGGCTGGCCCGAGCTCTGGCATCTGCTAACTCATCTCAGCCTCCAGCTAGTGTCGCCGGCGAGATGTTCCAGCTCGCGTCGCAGGACCTGCACGCCTGGGCTCTGCGGCCAGAGCTGAAGTGTCCCGCGCTTGCGGCCTGGGCCTCAAGAGACTTGACGCGTGCACGAGGGCTCCACCGAGAAGGAAAAAAAAAAAAAAAGAGGTGTCACGCACAGCTAACGCGTTTGTGCCTCTGGCACACCAGCAGGAGCACATGTTGCAGCAGCACGCGTGGGCCGTGTCTGGCGGATCTCGTCGCAGGGTCGGCGGCGGGATCTGCCCAGTTTTGGCATGCCCGAGCTCGCGCGGGCGCCACAATAGCCACGCTGCGGCCGCATCCTGGGTGGTGCGCAAGGCGCGGCGGTGTGTCGTTGCGCGATAGGCCGACGCAACGTCCGCGGACAGAGGCCTCTGTGTAATGTGCGCTGCCGCCGGAAGCTGGGGGCGATCTGGCGCGTCTGATGCGGCCTTCGTCGACGGACCCTTCTCTCGATTGGCGAGCGTTTTTTTTGTCTATTCCTCCGAGCACCCGCGGACTGGAGCCCTGCCGGACGAGGCTAAAATGTCGGTTTTTATTAATATTAAATGGCGTCAGGTCCCGCTCTGTGCTGCTAAGCGAGTGGCTGCTGTCGTCGTACGCGAGCGATACTGCCACCGCAATATTGGTGCGAGACTACAGCCTCTGAACAGCTCCGGGATTTCGGCACAGGGTGGACTGCTTGCTATCGCTTACAGGCCCTGCTGACAGGGTCTCGACCGCTTGCCCCCGACTCGGTGCGTGACCTCCTTACAGCATCCTGTGCGATAGTAATGCCTGCAGCAGCACGGTGAGGACGCTCGTCATCCGTTCGTCAATTTGTCCGACTCACCGCTTCCACGGCGTGGCTCAGTGGTCCACATTGGTATGAGACGTGCTATGGTCAATCTTCTCTGGAAAGGAAACTAAGGGCTGGCGCGCTTCGCTCCACAGGGTGCGTGCCTGGCGCGCTCTTGTCATTGCACGACATGGACGTCCGAACGTCCACCGAGTTCGGATCTTCATCGTCGTCGTCGTCGTCGTCGTGGTTCGCTACCCACTCGAGCTCCGAGACCTCAGGCTCGCGGTGCACGAACCCTGAGGGCACAGCCGTGCGCCATCGGTTCCGAGGACCGAATGCTCTGCCCGAGAAGTCCGTAGCAGACGTGGCGTGTCCACTGGCCTCTATATTTGATTTTTATGTTGTCGTTATTACCTGTAAATGCAGTCCTTGCGATGACATGGCGGGTACGAGCGCACGCGGCTCTCGCGTGGCGGACCGCCTGGGGCGGCCCCGCAGGAAGCGTTTCACAATGTCTCACAACGATGGCCGGGGCGATTTGCCCCAGACGTTCCGATCGCCCATCTTTGTTGCTGCGGGGCGAAGAGGAAGCTAATCGCGTCGCCACGAAAGGGGGTGCCTGGGTCCGGTTCTTGTGGAGTACGCCGACGGTGAAACAGCCTGCCGTCATGTGTCGGTTTGGTCGCAGACGTGTTTGGACTTTTTAGCTGAGGGGCTCGTGCTCGAGCACGTCGATTGGACAGCCTGAACCCCATTCCGTGCGATTTCTCATGTTGGCTGACTTTCATCCGTCGGTCGCATTATTAAGGCTCCAGGCAACAACTAACCCGCCTTTCAAACTGTCCCCCGTCCGAGCAGCTGCATGGACCAGCGAAACTTTCGCTGGACCTGTGTGTGCAGGCTTATCGTTTCCGTTCAGGTTTGAGCCGTTATGTTTTTCTACGGAGCACGCCAGCAACGCGAATCAGTGCAGGAAGCGGTTCAGGCGTAGTCGAGGTGGGGGAAATGCGGCTCGATATTCCAGGGATGCGCAGGCCGCAAACTTGGGCTCGAAGCGGATCAATTTCCTGCCGCGGCCTGCCGAGGCGCCATCAAACGAGCCTGCCGCGTCACGTGGGCCTGCACCGAGAGTTGTCGGAGGTTGAGGGTTCGCTGTGGAAGACCACGCACGCTTTCGAGTCGCTTTAAGCGTAATGGGTCCGCACACGTAGACATCGTCCTGCTCGAGGCTCGTGCTGTTCATTCAAGCGGGCAACTTATCAGCGGGTGATATCAGGATGCTGTTGTCTGGCTGACTCTGCCCCGCGTGAGCCATCGCCAAAGTTTCAACCGGCACACCTCTGAGCGAACAAACCCTCTATCATGACGACTGGTCACACGGATGTAGATCATGCCATGGTGCCAGCGAGAGCTGGGAACAAACCGACGACGGTGCGTCCGACTGACCAACTTCCGTCTCATACGGAGTGATACCCTCCGGATGATCTCACCACGCTAAGGCTCATTTGGTGGCGCGGGCGGCGTCGAGGCGTAGCAGATACAACATGTCGATGATGACGATTGTGATAGAGAGTAGCGGACAGAGAGAGTTGCCGCGGACGAGCGTGTAGAAGGGCTCGCTTGCAAAATACCACCGACGAACCAAGGAGCGCAGAGGCGCCGTGTCTAGGCGCGCAGGCGTCCGGAGACCTTGCAGGCGGAGCCCCAGACGAGGGCCGACCCAGGGGCTGTTTTACCAGCGACGGCGTGCACCGGGGGTTTTGCCCAAATAGGGGACGTCCAGCTCGACCTCGAAGGCCGGTTCGCAGCGAGGGCCATTCGAACGCACAGGAGTGCACAGGATTTCTGTGCGTGCATAGGGAATTCCTGGACCCAAACGATTGATCTGTGATCGAGTGTGCCGCCTGGTTTTCCCGCAAAGGACGCCGAATGGAGGAACCACGAAGGGGGACCCTTAGTGACGATCTCACCATCAAACGGCGTAGAGCCGTAAGTGCTACTTCTAACCCTCGGTATTCACGGTCCTGCCGACATACCTAAAAGTACCTCTCCTTTTCAGGCCAAATTCCCCTCCCCCGTCCCTTCTCTCTCGCCTCTCCGCGCCGCACAGCTGCTTTCAAACAGCTTCCCGCGCACACACCGACGAGTACTTCTTGAGCATGGCGTTACTGACCACAGCACCTTCATCACCCAGCAGTAGCAGCCATCCCTCTTCTCCCGAGTCCGAACATCTACAGATGGACACCTCCACCACCCAGAACGCGTCGCCTCTGTCTCTGACATCTGTTCCAGCTGCCGTGGCTGTAGAGGCAGACCAGAGCCAGGGCAGCTCGCCGAGCACTCCACCGAGCTCGTCCGCAGCCGACTTGGCGCGCTCGCGCTCGACGGGCAGGGGCGGTTGCTGGTATGTAGCGGCTCGCCTAGCCTCGGATGACGCCGAATGCTGACTGTCGGTTTCGTTCGCCTGCAGGACATGTCGAGTACGTCGAAAGGTGTGTGCGGCCCGCCGCTTTACATAAAATTACGACATGGGTGCTCACCCGGGGATCGACGCTTAGAAATGCGACGAGGAGCGCGTCGACGGCGATTCGTGCAAGACATGTCGCCGACTAGGAATCGACTGCTTGGGCTGGGGACCTCGGCGGCCCGACTGGATGAGGGTGCGTCGCGTCCGTCATCGCAGCTGATTACTCTTCACTCACCGTACGCCCACAGGATAAGGAAAAGGTCGCAGAGTACAAGGCGAGCATCAAGGCCCAGCTCACACGTGCAGGCCTCATCCGCGGCCAGCCTCGCGCGACCTACAGCTCCCTCACGTCCTCCTCATCGGCCCTTGCTCAGTCCCCGGCGTCATCTTCATCGTCCGATAGGTATCTCTCAGGAGCACTCGCAGGCCCCGGGCCGAGCACCCTCCGGGCTGGTCGGAGCGATCCCTACCCATCCTTCCCGCACGGACGCTCCTACGAGCCTTCGCGATACCACCATGCGAACACTGTGATGTCCGCCATGACCGGACTTGGTACGTGGCTTCTGCATGCTTCTTCGCTGAATGATGGGTCCGACGCCGCTTTGCAGACGCAATAAGCGCCAGTCCGGAGCTCTCTATGCCCTCTCCGTTCGTCGCACCGAACAATGCGTTCAACCAGGCATCGCTCTCGTATAGCAACGATATCTCGTCCATGTCTAGCACGTCGTCATACCCACCATTTCTTCATACCCCTGAGATTTCTCCCTCCATTACACCGGGGCTGCGTGATTCGCCCTTCAACGAGCAGTCTGAGCCGTACATCCAATACTACTTCGAGCACATGCGCAAGCTGCAGTTTGTCCTTCCGGGGAAAGAGCTCACACAGACACTCGCCTTCGTAGGTTCTTTTCGAAGTGATTTTTCTTCCAATGACATCACTAAGAAGTCAATGCAAATCTTAGATTTTGGCAGGAGAGCCACAAGGCCCGCTCGAACATGCCATTTGCGCACTCGCTAGTCTACATTCGTCCAAGGCCAACGCCGCACAGCATGGCTACGACGCAGCCACCGCCACCGCTGAGAGCTCCGACCGCGCTATCGATCGACGGTTCTACAACAAAGCGTATGTCATGCTCATGACCGCCAAGGCCACAGGTCGTCCATACGCCGAGCGAGACGCGGTGGCCGCCGTGTACCTGATCAGCTACCACAACCTCGCCGGCGGCGGGACGGGCTGGACGGCGCTGCTCGAGGTCGCGTACGACTGGTTCGCCCAAACCGGCATCCACGAGGAGCAGAACCCGAAGTTGGCGCTGGTCAACATGAGTCCCGCGCAGAAACTGGCGGCCAAAGCGACGATGGTGCGTTGTCGGTCCCTGTCTGATTCTGCTCGTGCCCCTTGCCCCCTTCCCGCGTTTGATGTTGCCGTGTGTGCCTGAAAATCCGCTGACGTCCGCTTTTTTTTGCATGTGCAGTGGATCGACACGCTCGCGAGCGTCGTCTTCACACGCCCGCCGCGGTTTCTCTCTCTGTACCGCCGTCTGTTCGGGAACCAGGGCGGAGCGGGCTATTGGGCGACGACGAACAACGACCAGCTCGATTTGCGCATGGACAGGCTTACCGGCTGCCCCGACGAGGCTGTGCTTGCGATTGCCGAGACCGCCGCGCTTGCGCACTGGAAGATCACCGAGAGCCAGAAGGGCGCGCTCAGCGTGCGCGAGCTCGCCCGTCGCGGCGAAATCATCGAGCAGACGCTCCGCAGCCAGCCGGCAAGAGTATACGACGACTCGCCAACTACCGAGGGGATGCCCATGCTGCCGACAGGGCTTGCTGCGCCTGCAGATGCTGCGGCGGCTGCAGCCATGGGCCCCGGCGCTGACGAGCACACGCGGCGTACGGTCGCCAGTATCTGGCGCGAGACGGCTGTGCTGTACCTGCACACTGTCATCAGTGATGCCCACCCAGGTGAGCACCGCCCCGTCCGCGCTCGCTTGAAATCGCGCAGCTGATGTCGTTGTCGCGTCTTCCTCACAGGCGTCCCCGAGATCGTCAAGGCGACGAACACGATCCTGGACTACACGCAGCTGCTCGGCCCGTCGCACTTTGACCGGGCGATGATCTTCCCGCTCGTCCTCGCCGGCTGCATGTCCGACGACCCGCTCATCCGCGAGCTCGCCAAGGGGCGCCTCGGCTGGCACCGCGACGACTTCTACAACGGCAGCATGTCCCAGGCGCGCACCTTTGTCGACTACGTGCACAACAGACGCCAGGCCGTCCGTCACAGCCACCGCGCGAACGTCACGATTGACTGGCGCGAGTGCATGCGCGAGCGCTGGTCGGCCATAACTCTCGTCTGAGCCCAGTTGCGTTGCAAAGAGTCCTCCGGCCCCGCCCAACGCGGGGCACGTCTTGTGTTGCTAGACTTTCGGGTCCGCTTTCGTTTTCAGGGTTCTTGAATATCTAAAGGCATTCCTGTCCCTTTCATCCACCGCCCGTTATTGGACCCGCATGTACTGATACTCACCTAGAAGTGACGCCCCCGTGTATTTTTTTCTTCTCCTATCGTACCTCGCTGTATATACCCGAGTGCTCTTCGAGTGTCCTAATATAGTTTTGTGTCGATTAGCCTGCGCATGCTGTATATGCGAACCAAAATATACCTGTGTGGTTCATTCTCCGTCCCCGCGTCAAGTTCGCCGCACTCTTGACGGAACCGAACGGCGCTCGAGAATCCCGACGTCAAAGCGCTCGGCAGGGAGGGCGCACCGGCGGCTGTGGCAGATCTGGCGGGATTCCCAGTTAGGAAATGAAGGCGCAGCGTCAATGACGGGCGTCGAGAAGCTCCGGATTGAATTGAACTCGGCGCGGACAGTAGACAATTTGGGTTTGGTGGGTTATGTCGCGCTGCATTCACCGAGTTCGGAGATTAGGGTGACGTCGGTTGAAGTCGCTGCTACTGTGAACAGTGAGCATGTTACGCTAGGTGAGACGACAGCGGGAGGGAGAGGAGCGGCGACTCACGCTGAGCTGGGTATATATACGGAGACGACGTATGCTACAAACCGCCGACGCAACCATGAGCCAAAAGGATCAACTTTACGCTTCCGCAAAAACTTGTGTGCGAGGAAGAATAGTAGAACACGGCCTCAAAAGCCAGGGTCGCGCGAGGCTCGGCGATGCTCATGTGCTGAGCTCACTCAAGGACAGCACGCGAATTGTAAGAATTTTTGTGGTCATGGACGAGGCGACGGATGCAGCACCCGGGAGCGAGGAAAGGATGGGAGGCAGGGAGGCGTGAGGGTGACGAGCAAGGATACACGGCTATATACCGATGCCTCGGGAAACCAGCTCAGCCAATCGGACTGCGGCATCAGCGCTGTAACCGATCCAACCTGCCGCTCGTCCCCGGGCGCGTCCGCATTGTTCGGGCGCCCCTCTGCCTATTTCGCTGCGATCCCGCAGCGTGTCCCATCTAGTTTCAGCCCTAGCTCCCGCCCTTGTCCTGCTGCCTCCTCGCGCACCTGCGCACGCAGACTCGCCCTGTGCGGCGGCGGCCAGGGGCAGCCACCGGGCTGGCATGCACCATGAAACTGTCCCTCATTTCCGCGTGCTCGGCTCTGGCGCTGAGACCGACCCTCGGCGCAGCGCGCTCTGGTGATATCAGGACATGTATCATGAAAGGAACATCCTAACACAGGAATGTGGGCGAACACACCCGCAGACTGCCTCGTGCGCCCCAGTCTGATGCATGCAAAGCTGTGTCCGCGGCGGTATGTCTTGATAGACATAATCGGTACAACCTGCGCGCGTCAGGCACTGCAGCACCTTACAACACTCCGTTTGGTCAGTCGCCCCCACAACGGGCCCTGTTTGTCAAAATATGCACGTAGTCACACTGTTATCGGTCAGGGCGCCCTTTACAGCGCTGCCGCCAGAGCCACGGGCGGCGACCAGATACGGGAGCTAAAATGCCGACGGGTCGTTCGCCCCGTAAGCGCAATATGTCCATCTCAACGTGTCCTGGTAGGTCTCTTCGCTTGTGCGTTTCAGCTCTTTATACGTCACTCGTCTTGCGTAGGAGTTACCATCCTCGTTCCGCGCTGTACTGCATCTACGCAATGTCCGGGCCTGCCCTTACGGCTCTGCTGACGGCTGCTATGGTGTTGAACGACAACGCGGAGACAGCATAAAAAATCTCAGCGCAGTGTTATCCGTCGGTTGTTGGATGCGCCCGTGTCCGTCTGCGGTGGAATTCGAGTAATCATGATCACGCCCACGCGCATCGTGTTTAGAATACCGTCACCGCTGGGGAGCCTTCTTGTCGGGTGAACTGAGCTGGCCCCTCAATGAAGAGGTTCTACTTAATCAGTGCCTGTGCGTCAGGGGGTGCTCTGAAAAGGTCCCAAACTCACGTCGCGAAGACCCTCGTGGTTCCCCGTCATGGAGGAGTAGGTTGGCACGGTCGACCTGATACTCCTCCATTCATGGCTCACATGCGCTAGTCAGACGGTAGGTCATCGGCAGAGTCTACTGCGAAAGCTCTATTCGTCTCTCACAATCACACGATTCCAGCCAGCAATAGATGGCGCAGATACCCGCTTCCCTGCTAACTGTCGTGCGACAACGCAATCTTCAGGCGAAACTGCGGTAACATGATCCTGCCCCTTCGGAAAATCCAATTCGATATTGCGGTGCGCCGTTGGCATGTTCCTAGTACGCCCCTTCATGCGCGCTTGCTGACGGGAATCGTTGTCTAGGATCCGGCAGGTGGAAATCGAGTTGGTGCTTGTACCATGGTGGGACACCGGACAGCGCTGTCCGAGGAATATCCTCTGCTCGGCATGCTTGGCCGCAGATCGGAGTGAAAGAGTCATTTGTCGAGAATGGGCTATGGCTCGTCTCCAGGATCGTCCTTCTACTTCTGCGAAGGCCACCTCGTGTATACAGGCGCTGTTCGAAGCTGTCGTCGCCTGACGCCAGACTGTGCATCTACCGATGGCGCTCGGAGGTTCTCTCTAGCTACGTATGAGCGTCCCGCCACGGGCAGCTGAGATGCATCTTGGCTGCTCTGTGGAGGCCTTTCCGAGGAGACCTTGCCGCGCACGCCATGCAACACGACGATGAAATCTTCCTCTCTCACTTCCCAAACAAGCGCCCTCGGCCGCACCGCGCCTCAAGCGTTACGCCACAAAAGTCCATGGTTCTGTCTCCGCCGGTCACGCGAAGGCAATGGAATATGATGCTCCGGATGGCTTATCGATATGGCAGACTGAACAGACGGCGTGCTGCCCGTTCATTCGAATGAACGCCCAGGAAGGACTTCGTCCAATGTGCGTACGGATAGGCTAGTACTTGGCTTTCTTTGACTGGCCTATTGGAGAGCTTGGCAAGAACACCGTGCGCAGCCAGAGCGGGGATGAAATAGGTATTGCGACTACCAATCGCTCGCGAAGTTCTGTCAGAGATTTATTCCCGCTGAGGCTATGTCGTTTCCCAGGACATGCCGACCATTTGCTTGCAGAAATACTGCTACTTACGAGAGCCCGCATTAACAGTCGGACCGGTGCCTTGCCCTCTGCTGAGCGAGCATGTGTGATGTTGCGCGGTGAGCCTGCACAGTCTTCTCTCTGGTCCACCGGCTTACTGATAGCTAGTTTATTGCCAGTGTGTGGTGCACGTTTTGTATCGCGCTCGTTAGAAGATTGGCCATATCTGGCCTAGATGATCCTAGTCTTAGGGAGATGTGGCAATGCATGCTTCGTACATATTCATGCTTCCCCTGCGCTAGGAGTTGTCCGATAGCCATGTTCTAAGTTATCCTTATCCGCTCACCCGAACTTCACTTTGCGAAGCCCAGTCGACTTGCCTCATCGGCTCGCTCGGCGTACACTGCGTGATCATGGTATTCCCCTGAGCCGAGCTGCAAGAGTCAACGAGGACCAGACCTACCGGCATGAGGTCATGAGAATACCGCATTTATTGCCTCGGGCCTTGTTTCCCGCGCATATACCGTCGCCGTTTGGTGTTAAACATGGAGGCCGGCATGCTTCTTTCACCGCAAGCCTGAGCTCCATCCGCACACACCTAATCTACGGACACGCTCACATATACGTCTGGATTACGTGCCTGGCAGTTTTGGTTGTATGCGCAATCCTCGTGTTGTCTCTTCAATAAGAAGCTCGGACCGCAACCGAGGTGAGTGCTCTATTGTCCGCCTTGGCTTGGCCTCGTGCGGGCACACACACACACACGTACTAATCACAGCTTTCCGTCCATATTGTGTGCTAACACCGTATAGCGAGTGCCTTTTTTTCATGGGGGCTGGGGCTGACTCGGACTCGGATCTGTATTGACGAGCAGCCCTGCTTACAAAGTCGCACGAGTCAGCTCGATACGAGCTGCATTCCTTTATTGCCGGGGAATCTGTGCTTGGAAATCGTGCAGATATGCTATCTGCTTAGAAAGAGTCTGAGTCAGAGGACAGCTTGAGAATCTTACGCGAGGGAAATATTGTTGTACGGCCATGATTATTGATATAGCGCCCGGCCTTGCGCGGCGTTCGCGGACGAGAGCTTGCAAGTATTTGTCCGAGTCCCTGTGGTATGGTGCGGCTTTA